AATTAAAATCGAAGCACAACAATTTTATAGAGATGAAATTAAAACCAAAATCAAAATCCGTTATAATCATAAGTATTATGAAGTTCACCATTTATCACTTAGAAAGTCCAATCATAAATTTATGTCAAAAAAATAAAACAAAATAAAAACTGTTTCATCAACCATTTTATAAGCAATAATGAAGTGTATCAGCCATTATAATGAAGGCAACTAAAGCAAGTCATGGTGTAATGCATTCTTTATTTCACTATTTGATTCAGTTTCTGAAGATGTTATACGGTGAATGAATAGTACTCATTTTGGAGGGTTTACATAATATAATCAAATAAATTCTCTCTTCAAACTTTAAAAAATAAAAAAGTCTGTCAATCTTATTTTCCAAGAATTTCAGCTTATAACTCTATTTGATTTCAGTTTTCAGAATTCACTTTTCAGAAAATTCTACTTTTTCGTTTTCCGTGTTTTTTTTTTTGTTTTCATTGAATTTTTTTAATATCTTAACCATTTTAATATATTGGAAACTGAATGCATACATGTTCGAGGAACTAAATAGTGCATACATAAAAACTTGATAAAATACATAGATTGGCATATATAACATAACTAACAATATGAAAAACCCATTAAAAAACTTTGCAAATAAAGTGGGTGGAGTGGAGGAGATGAGGCCATTATACTTCTGATACAGGGCATCTGCCCTGAGTTGCATATGCATTCTAATGGATTTTCAAACTAAACACATTTGGTTATAGTAATCAGATTTTGTAATAGCTGACTTTCATTTATGATACAACCACAAAAAATCATTGTGACTTAGAGATGCATAATCTACGAAGAAAGGTGGCCAGTTAAAGGTGGTGTAGTTTCCTATCACTGGAAATATTACATCCAATAGTAAATAATAAAGGCGACTGGTACAAACTGGGATAAAGTCTGGACCATTGTGCCGTTTGAATTCTACGCTCCATTTGTTTCGGCAAAAAGCATTTTACAGGAAAAAAATTCCAAATTGTTTTCCGTACAAAACATTTTCCTATGGTTGAGATTTTCAAACTAATTTTCGTTGTTATATTAGTGGTAGGATTAGTGGTTGTGGCAGTGATAGTATAGTAGCATTGGTAAGATTTTCTCCGTCAACTTTTACTTTTCTTTGAACCCAACGCTAGAAAATACGAAAAAATGTTTTCCCTTGAAACAAACGGAGCGCTAAAATCAAGAATAATCTACCTTAGGATTGATGCTCAGCAAACTATCAAAAGCTCAAGGTTGGACCTTAAATGCAATTAGATGCAATTGAGCAGGTTATGAAGAACAATGCAATGACAAATTTTGTATAACCCAATAACCACATAAGCAGCAACTAATTAAAAAAGTGCAGAAATGTAGGTATCAATATTTTTTTTTTCTCACTTGAGCATTTATAATTTGGTTCTAAAGTTCAATGGAATTATTTATGGTTTATTCTATTTTTAATATTATCTTTTAATCATGGTTGAAGAAGGTATTTCCTAACATCAATAATGGTTTAGGAATTCCTTTCTAAGTCAGTAGTAGCAAAGTTAGGTAGAAATCTAGCCTGGATCTTGTGTTTGATGAAAAACATCTCTTGCACATTTATCCAATGAATTTTGAACCTTTTTTTTTTCATTAAGGAGAACCACAAGTAACAAAGGCAGTTGGACCTGGAGGGAAAATCATCTATGCATCAAATATGTAACATCAACTGCTAACAAATATTCAATATTTTGGGGGTCCCTCAAGTTGCAGCATTTTTTAATATCAAGTACATATTACCATGCAAGTTTGAATTAGAGGTGAAGGAACAAACACATCACCCCAGATTAATATCAACATAATCACAACAATGTTCCACTCTTCGTGCTGCGTCCAACAAAGTATCTGGATCATTTGCACAAAATTGGACAAATAGCGGGCGATCCTCTTGCAGCCATAATCAAATTCCAATCAGGAAATTTTTGAGATTAATATTTAAGAAACAATGCAATGTGCAAACCTTTTCAAAAGCAACAACTAATTTAAAAAAGTGCAGAAATGTGGGAATCAGTATTTTTTTTTTCTCTCATAATCATTTTGTCAAACAATTGGTTCACATGACAAAGCAGTGGTGTTCATACACTTAATGATGATCTTCACCACAACCATATAGACAAACCAGTTCAAGAACAAGAAATAAACCTAGATTGAGAGAAAGAATGGCAGCCCAAATTAATAAAGCATTCTAAAAAAAGAGGAAATAAAAATAAACCCCAAATTAAATGACCCACAAAGAATTGAAAATACCAAAAAAGAGGAAGAGAGACCGACCTGAGGAGACTCTGTCTTCAGAACTGAGGAGAATGACAAAAGAATCAAAATGGGTAGCTTTTGCTTTTGAACAATGAAGTAAATACATATATGTGTGTGTAAACATATGTATAACAAAATTGTATCCAAAATTATGAGAATGACACTCTAAATCGCTCATAACAACAGAATATACAAAACATCAAACTGTAAGCAACTCAAATCAACGGCTCGTTACTCGTGATTTGACAAAAGAATCAAAATGGGTAGTTTTGCTTTTATATATATGTGTGCATAAACATATGTACAACAAAATTGTATCCAAAATTATGAGAATGACACTCTAAATCGCTCATAACAACAGAATATACAAAACATCAAACTGTAAGCAACTCAAATCAACGGCTCGTTACTCGTAATTTGACAAAAGAATCAAAATGGGTAGTTTTGCTTTTATATATATGTGTGCATAAACATATGTATAGCAAAATTGTATCCAAAATTATGAGAACAACACTCTAAAATACATCATAACAATAGAATATACAAAACCTCAAACTGTATTAGCAACTCAAATCAAGGGCTCGTTACTCTTGAAGTCGAGGAGGGTGGGTGTCAAGGAGCGGAACTCAAAATTGGGAAAACTACCGAGGAAGGTGGGTGTCGATCTTCCTTTTCAGGTCTGTAGACGTGTTTGGCAGAAGTGAGAGAGAGAGAGAACGTGCAGAGAGGGGTAGATGTGTTTGGCAAAAGTGGGAGAGAGAGAGATGAGCGTTTAGGCGGGAATCCAAGCTTCTTTTGAACCATTGATATTTATTAGAATTCATCTGAGCCTTTGAAATCAAATGTATCTCACATACATTT